GGTGTGGTTATTGTGCTTGCCACATGAAAGCAAAGCGTTGAAAATTATTGAAATCGGACTAAAATTACGGCCGCTTTTCATATAACGGTAAATTTCAGAAATGCTTGAAACTTCAATATTTCGAAATTGAAGGACGCTAATTTACTCAAAATTGATACACCCGGCTTACCATCTAGCGGTAGGTTTCGGAAAGGTGAAAAAACCTATATTTAATATTTGCGCCGGGTATTTAATGTTCGGCTCCGCCCGAACTTAGACTTTCTTACTTGTTTTATATCATTTAATGCTAAAGAAATTCATATACCTGACCCAAGGTTTGTTCTATGGTAATTAAAAACCATTTTTATTTAAATATTTTTCAATACCTGGCTTTCCTCGTTTAAATATTTCAGTTTTAAAGCTATTTTAGTCCTCTTTCAGTTGATACCAAACTTGTTTAATTTGGATAAGCGGTTTGTTTATTATTAGGAAAGGACTTTTATTTTCGACTTAAAAATATCTGGCCAAGTATAATAATAATAATAATAATAATAGATTGGCGCTTACACATATGTTAGTGTTTGGCCGAGCATCTCCTCCGACTTGTGGCGTGCGCCTTGATGTTGTCACACAAAGCGGATGGACCTACAGTTTTACGCCGACTACGAACGGCGATCGTATTTTTATGAGAAACTGTTTTTCTCCAGGCCAAGTATAGCTGTTGAAAAAAAAAGTAACTGTTATTTACGATCCCTGGTGTTTGTGTACAACATACCTCTATTGCTTCCCTGCAAAAATGCGACTAATCCGGGTTGACTCCGGGAGCAATGGCAGACGAGCATGCGACTAATACCACTTTTGATCTCTTTATATGGAATGAACTGATCGCTTTTGTTCGAGCATGTCCTATGAAGAGACTAATTGTTCACCTTTATACCCGAAGGGGTGTAAAAAGCGACTAGTCACTTTTAAAAATTAAAAATTAAAATTTGCGCCAGCTGAGATTCGAACCGGGGTGCTCAGTTTTGTTAGGCGAATACTCTCTCCGTGTGCCAACGCCGCACATGAAATTTCATTGACTAAGTGCGTACAAATCATTAAATCGTTAATAGTACCCGTTAGAGATGAGTTGGGGGCTAATTGATCTCCAATTATACCCATAAGGGATGAGTCGAGACTATTTGACCTCCATTAGTACCTATATGAGACTAGTTGGGACTAATTATTGCCCAATTGTACCCGATTGAGAGTAATCTCGGAATACTCTCTTTAGAGATTAGTCGCACAATTTTTTGCAGGGTTACAATAATTTTAAGCTATAATAACAACTTTGTAGTAATAATTATCGGCGTTGAAAAAAAATGTGTATAGCGCTCCCCCCCCTAAATTTCGTTCTGGCTACGCCCATGAATGCTATGCAAGCAGTTTCTAGTCGGGAGCCACAGACGTGGTCACCCAAACAGACAAATCCTTGCAGAAGAGCCTTCGCCCAGACACATCAGGAGGCATCTCTACGAACCGACGGACGAAGTGCAGAGGTTCATCAAACAACCTCTAAACCCGAAAACTTATCGACAGGCCTTGAGCGGCATTCACAGAGAGGCAGTCTCGAGTTATGTAGACTCTCGACCTTTGAATGCCGTTCTGGACATACAACCACCAGACGTGGACGAGACAGAACTTCGTCTGCCTCGGGAGACTCGGCCAAAATAGCCCAACTGCGCTTTGCTTATTGCAGCAGATTGAACTCATACCTGATCAGATTAAACGGGGATATTCTAAACGAATGCCCGGCATGCGGAGAGTCGCCCCATGACTCACAGCATCTCTTCGCATGCCCACTGAATCCCACCCTACTAACGTCACTGTCCCTATAGACACACCCCGTTGAGGCTGCACGCTTTCTGGGGCTACCGCTAGTAGAGCTTGACGACAACGATTGAGACACTAACCGATCTCGGCGGGGTTGTTGTAGCCGCTACAACAACAACAACAACAGGCGTGGCACACTTTCTGAGCCTCCCGTTAGTTCAGTTCGAAGACATCGATTGAGGGACAAAGAAGATCTAGGCAGGGCTAAGTAATCCGCTGCAACAATAACCGAAACCACATCACTGGGTTGGGTAAGACCCGAGTCTAGCGTTATCGGCTGTGTTCGCACGACTGTTGGATCTACGTAACCGGAACGACCCATATCTATATCTAGATCAGCCGGAGTGATTCCCCAAAAACTCTTGGGGTTTTCATGCTGTTACAACAACAACAAAATTATGCTTGGCAGCAGGCCTATTCTGCGTTGGTAACAAAAATTTCGTCACCGTTTCGCATTCAAATTTGCTACCATCTCAAGAGCAGGTAACAAAATATTGCCCCGTGAAATATGTAATACAAGAATTGCCTTGAAATTGTTGTTGCATTTGTTTGTTTGTTTACATTTTGGGCTAAACAGCAGGCAAGATTGCAAACGCATGGTTGCATATCTCATATTTAAATAGCCAATAGTTGTGTGTTCTTGGGTTATCCAGCTCAGTATCAGATCATTTCTCACGGAAACACGGATCATTCTCGTTGGAGCTGGCAGCACTAATTTTATACTACTAGCAAGGGAATGAACTCACTAAATGGGGAAAAGTACATTTAAAAGAAATAATATTCACTCAAACAAATATTTAGCGTAAAGAAAATTTATTTGAAGCAAGTTAAAATAAAATAAAATTAAATTTTAACAATTTTAGCAACACAGAAATAGAGCTTTCCCACGGGCGTTTGTCTAGTTTTTCAACTATCAAAATTTTTCTTTGCATTTGGCACAGCAAAATTCAATTTATTTGTACACCATAGCAAATTTTTCCACCCCGTCTCACCACGGAGACAAAAGTTACCGATTGGCACAGGCCCTAAGTTCAGATTAAGGGCCAATTTCAAATGAATATTCAAACGGCACTTAAGTTTAATTGTGGATTGTTGTTTAACCCTGGGATTCAGTAGTTCATTCTTATCTCAAGTCACTAAATTTGAGATTAGCAATTAGTGACTATTTTTGTGTCTTGAGATAATTTGGCTATTCAGTAGCAGAGAGTCACAAAAAGTTCACCGAAAATGTGTGGTGAAAACAAACACAGACAGTCAACTGATAGCGTTTACGTATGCCTATTGCCGCACCGCCCAAAGAGTCGCAATGGCCGAGTGGTCAAAGGATTAGTCGAGAGGGTCCGGGTTCGAGTACTCCTCGGGCGTAGAGGATTTTTTTTATTTAGTATTTTTTTCTTTTTTTATTAATTTTATTTTTTTAATAATCTTTAGATTTTAATGTTAAAAAAAATTTTTTTTTTTTTCAATGGATTTGTATACTAAAACATTTTGGTTTATTTCCTAACGAAATTCTTATTGGATAAATTTCCTCGCTTCATATTCGCGTTTTTTTTTTTTTTAATAAAATGGAAAGCAATTAACTTTTTCTCCATATTTTTATTTTTGAGACCTGCTCTTAGCCAGCTGACAAGTTAGTGATTTCTTTTTGAGACTAGAGACGTGAGACAGCATACTGAATGCCAAATAGTCTCAAAATCCAAGTTCCCACCAACAGTCACCATTAGAGACTAGAGACCGCTCACTGAATGCCAGGGTAAATGCCATCTAGCTTTNTCTGACAGAGAGAGAACCGTATTTACTCTATTTTTTGTCCTCTCAATAGTCAGAGAACCGAGTACGGGATCGATTTCCAGTAAAATCTGACTGATTCTGACTAGTCCGGACTCGTACGGGATCGCAACTATTGGTTGGGTTTCAGTCAAGGCGTATTTAACAAGGTGGTGTTGGCCGTATATAAGTAAAAAATTACACTAACAATTTATACGCTGATGTCCATACTGTCATTGGTATGAGTTACAACAAACACATCATTTTGACGTAATGGCCTCTACGGCGAAAAACTCAGCTGTCGCCCCAACACCACCTTGTTTAATACACCTTGGTTTCAGTTCAACTTTGTTTAAATATGTCAAACAATTGGCCGCACTGCTGCTTTTTCCTTGAAATTGTTGTTTCAATTGCTTGTTTGTTTACATTTTTCTGAACAGCTGATTATTTTTTGCTGCGATTGATTGAACAACCTACCTATCAGTCTTGGTTGTTTGGTACAAACACAGGAGGTTTGTATAGTAACCAATAGTCAGTACTAATTTGTACTGGAACATGCAAATTTTTACTGGAAAAGTGTATGATAACCCAAAAAACTTTGCAAGAGAGCACTGAATCGAGCGCGTAACAACACGGGAGAGCTGCAAATTCTTGCTAGTGAAATTTTTACTGGCAGAAATTAGCTAGCAGGAGAAGAAGAAGAATAAATGCCAAAAGCCGGCATTTGTTGAATTGGTTTAACACAAACAAAAGTAAAATTAGTGGAAATCAAAATATTGATGATGTACTGGACTGTGTAAGTGTTTGTTTGTCAAGCAAAGAGTTTTAAACTGATTTATAAATAGTAAAATGTTTACAGCAGAATGTCAAAACAGTGCAGCAACTATTCACTTGCAAGTTGTTGCTAGTTTTGTGTTCAACAACTTTTCTGCTAGTTTTCTCTTCTTCTCAATATTACGCTCTATTTTGCTTTTACGCTCTCGCTGCAATGTTTTACTGGAGAAGTTAGTATACATACCTAGGGTTGCATATCGCATATTTAAAAAGACAATATTGGCCATTTAAATGCAGACTAATTTTGGATCTGAAAATGAATAGTGGAAGTTAATCAATAATCTCTACTTAAGAAAAATTGAAATTGGACCTAAATAAGTGTAAAATAGTGGTGCTTGTGAAGTAAGCAAACGCTCAGTTGACGCACCCACCTTAGCAAACTTTTTTCTCAAAACCAGTTACAAATTCAACGTCGCGTTCTTAAAGTAGGCAGCTGACGAGCTACATTGAAAGCGATTAGTTGAAAGGCCAGGCAACTGCTTATTCAACTAAAAGTTGCCTGTAAATTCCTTATAAATGTCATTATTTTTCCCTCACATGGCAACCAATGGTATACGCAAGTTGATTTCGCCGTGGCTGGCGGTTTGTTTTTCTTGGTTTTTAGCGTCAAAAGAAGCGTCATTTTGTTTTTTCCCAATAGTTATTCAGGAAATGGATAAATTGAGTGAAGAATTAATCTTAGAAGTAAAGAATCGTCCATATCTTTACGATGATAAACACAAAGAATACAAAAACTTGGTCGCCAAGGAGCAAGCTTGGAAGAAAATTGGAGAGGTGTTGAAGATGTCTCGTAAGTGTACTAATCCAACAAGTTGGAAGTTGTTTGTTTATTTGTACAACGATTTTGGGGTGCTGTGCCCAAACGCGAGATTCGAATCAAAACTCTCAACACTCACTTGTAGACAAGAGTTTACTCTTTATTATAAAAATAAAATTGACTATCTGTGCCCTAATTTATTAGTAATGTTGGTTGGAAACATGGTATTTTTTCGAAAGTTTCCGANGTTCCCTATAACGGTCCCACATGGCTCGCGTTGCGCCCGATCGCAGCGTGGCCCTGTAGGCGGCATCTTTTTTCTCTGCGGCTTCTTGACATTCCTCATCGTACCAGTTGTTCTGTCGGGCTCGCTGAAATCCGATCTGATCTGTCTAACAAAAAATATCCAAGAAATATATCTGCAAAAGGTGTCCAGCTCCTCTTCTCCGACAAGACAGAAAGAAGAATTCTACTTACTGAGGGTTATAATCCGTAAGCGCGGCCGAAAAGTTTTCGGCCCCTCTTCCTCAGCAACACAAAAAGAAGAATTCTACTTAGTGAGGGTTATAGTCCGTAAGCGCGGGTGAAGGCCGAATACGAAGAAAGGAGCTCTCTGCAAAAGGTGTTCAGCCCCACTTGTTCGGCACGCCCCCTCCGCCCACTCGCCAAAATCGTTGTACAAATAAGTAAACATTTCCAAGTTTGGAGCACTCTTCGCGCGAAAGTGATGCGCCTTGAGTCAGACTTTCTTCGCTTATGTTTTAAACGCTTGCATGCCATCCGCTTAAGAAAATATTTTCGTACAACTCTCTTTTAGCTATGAATGCCAAATCCAGATGGAAGAACTTGCGCGACTCATATGTCAAATATAAGAATCAATTAAATAAAGTTACCGACGCTGCTGGTGAAGAAGCTGTAAATAACCGCTTTTCGAAATGGACTGGGCATTCGTATTTGTCTTTCCTGGATGAAACTTTAGCCCGACGTTCTATATCTATGTCCAACGTATCCCTTAAAAGTGAAAATATTGAAGCCACACCACCTGCAAAGCGCGCAAGGAGTTCGCCTTATAAGGAAAGTGTCCCAGATCCGAAATCAAGCTCCAATAGATCAAAAAAGAAAATTCAAAGCAGAATTCGTGCAGTTTTCCATTCCACCTATTCCAAGAAGCGTGCAGAGAAGACATATAAGCAAGAAATGCAGAAACCGCTACAACAAGAAAAGCAAACTGCGGAGCTTTCGGAGTCTGAAGCTAATACTACCGAATTTGAGCACTCCATTGCTCCTCCTGAAAACTGCCTTGAAATATCAACCACCAATGGAATGGTACTAAGAGATAATCACATGCCAATACAAATGCCTCAAAATAAAATGAATGATACCGACATAATCTTTCATTATTTAGAAGAAAAGAGGAAATGTCAAACGGTACAAAGGGGTAGCGATGCTGTTGATCATTTGTTTAACAGCTATGCACAAACATTTCGATCTTTACCGCTACGCCAGCAGGTCAATATTAAAATTGAATTGGCGAAACTTTTCGCTAAAGCTGAAATAGAAAGTCAATCTTAGATAAGATGTAGGTATCTGCTATGGAATTTTAAAAGTAGAATGAGCTTTTTGTTTGCTATTTAAATATTAGGGCACCTTCATGAAAAATAACTTTTTTATTTTACTCCTATTGAAGTATTTAATTTTGTAATATCGTTAGTAAATAATTTTGAATGTCAATTATTTTAATATCAGTTGCGAGTTTTCAGAAAATAAATTTACGTTCATGCGCTATGGCGCAGCAAATCCTTTTAGTTATTACCGAACTACTTTTCAGTGCGGGTGTATATTAAGGAGACGTGCAAGGAAAACGCGAAGCTAAATCCAACTTTACGTACTTAAAGGAAGGAAAAACATTGATTAAAAAACTCGTGCGACTGAAATAGTGAGTCATTAGATCTAAAAAATAGCATGTACTGCATATACATACATAAAGCAAATTAAAAAGTAATTGGCTAATATCCGTAAAATACTTTATAAGCTGCAATTTCTTTGCATAGATCACGAACTTAGTACAAACGAAATGGTTTTATATAAATGAAAGTGATTATATTTTAATAAATTCACAAACGTAGAAAAAATGTGACATGAGAAACATTACTAATTATGAAATTACATGGTAACAGCGCCATATGCATTTAAAAAATTCGAATATGCATGTTTTTGCGTACATTACATAAATGTATTGTAGAATTTTCCCTGACTGGGAGTTGAAAGGCAAGTGTATTGTTAAGCAATTACAAAGCCAAATCTTATACTTATTTGATCCTGTGCTTTGTCTTTAATACTTTGAATATATTTCTAATTTGAAACTGCAATTTCTTAATTAATTTTTATGGCAACAAAGAACATATAACTTTCTATGCGCTAGACATATTTCTTCCTAAATTAATTCCCATCTTCTTGACCTTTTTTCGCCGACCACTGCAAGTAATTTGGCTGCGTTGCGGCTTCATACTCCTGCACTAAACAATCTACAACGTCGCGCGAATCATCCAATTCAGATAAATCGTCTTTGAAAATATCTTCACGTCTAAATTGGTCCAAGAAGGCGCCACGTTTTTTAAGCTTGTCGTACTGTCCAAGCGCACGTTCGAAAAGCGAACAAATGCTTGTGTGATTAGCAAGCATTAGTCCCGAAACACGGTGGCTACTTTGTACGTAGGGCGAGGAGCGTGATAAGGCTACTTGAATACTTGCGGGACCCCATGGAATAAACTGGGCTAATTTACGCTCACGTATGCGTTGCAACGACTTGTGCACTTGTGTAGGATCTACTTCGCCCTAAGAAAAATATATATATTGAGAAAAGTTACCGCATTTGATTACTTGAATCTTACTTGTATTATATTTAATATAGATATGTAACAGTGATGATTAGTTTTGTCAGGGCCAGTAGATACCATCATATTTTTGGGTTGCAGCAGACGACGCATGACGTCCAATACGGTAGTTTTTCGCACATTTACAGTTTGCTATAATAAATAGAAGCATGCAATCGATTTCAATAAATTTTTACATTTTTTCTTACATCGTTATCCGTTGTTAATGGCGTATAACCAGTCATCAGGAAGTGCAATTGTGGTGTTGGTATTAGCGGTGCTGTCAATCCTATGAGGTTATTATTCATATAAGAGGGATAACGTAGGGTTGTGGTGCTGACAGACATTATGGTCGAAACCAAGGTGTTTATTTGCGTAAAGCTTGGATTTTGTATATGCAAGCGGTCAGTGGCTATACGATTTAGTGCGGTATTGTCCAGTACTACAACACAGTCAGCGCAACTAGTTAGCCGACGAAGTGTCAACATCGAGTTGTATGGTTGGACAACAACATCGCTGATCTCATCCTGATTAGGGAAGACGCTGTATGTTTGTATCAGTTTTTTAGGGAAGCGATCCGACAAACGTTCCATTATGTATGATCCCATTCCAGAGCCGGTGCCGCCAGCTATAGAATGACAGAGTACAAAGCCTTCCAAAGAATCACTACCATCTGCTTCGCGGTCAATAATATCGAATATTTCTTCCTGAAGTTTTTCACCTTGGCTATAGCCGGAAGCCCAATTATTTCCAGCCCCGCCGCCATGTTTTGACAAGTATACATTCTCTGGATTGTAGAGCTTAAATGAGGAAATTAAAGGTAATCGCAATCCATCATTTATAAAAGTATAAGTAAACCTTTGCATATGGTGAACTCATTATAGAGTGTATAACGCGAGGTTCTAAATCCAGTAATACTGCGCGCGGTATATAATGATCATCATCTGCTTGATAAAAGAAAACGTCCTTCCGATCGACACCATCAGTGGCGAAATCCTCCAAAACACCACTGGGTGATATACCATGTTCGAGACACAAACGTTTCCAAAACTCAAAGCCAACTACAAAGTAAAATTTATTGATAATTCAATTTAATGTAAAAAAATAAACTAAAAGCAACGGAAAGTGGACCAGCCCTTTACACCATATATACGGTACATACTTTGATTGCCGCACTGGCCCAATTGCAATGTAATTATCTCGCTTGGCATGACTTCACTCTATTGATTTCCAACTTTTCACAAAATTTGCATTTGGATACCAAGTAGTAAAACTAATTTCACACAAATTCACTTATTGGAACACATAAATTTTTAAATTAAGTGACAGCAGCTACACAACATTTGGTAGCATTTGCAAGTTTTTGTTTTCGTATTTTTTGCGGCGAATTCATTAGTTGTGTCAAGCTAGGAATGTTCGATATCGTATCCATTATTCTGAATATCGATATTTCATGGTGCGATAATCGATTTTTTGAATCGATATTTTCAGGTCGATATATCGAGGACATCGATACTTTACCCGCAATATCGATATTTAAGTTGAAATTTACAGTCCTATTCTAATAAAATCTCACAACTGGCAATTCAGTCGAGCTCTCTCATACCTGACTGTAATGCACAGTATAGACAGTAACGAACCTTTTTGGGTTGTTGTTGTAGCAGTCGTTGTTGTTGTAGTAATATTCACTCCTGAGGAAGGCACGGGGTTGCGTGCTGATATTTAATTGCCTTCCTCAGACTTTTTCTTAGATTTCAGGGTTGTGTGCTGCATTATTATTAGATAAATAAATTTAAGTATTTGACAAATCGTGATTTTGTTAAAAGAAAATTATAAATGGTGTTGAAAAACCAAACAAACGCTCATGCGAAAGCTCTATTTTTGTGTGTTGTTAAAATTTATACATGGCGTATTGATGGTAATACAAGCAATGTATTCTTTTGTGGATTTTATGTTACTTGAGAATTTAGACAACGTGCGAGCTGCCAGGTTCTGTTATCAATATAATTAACACAAGCTTTTCCGCGTGGTTGCCTTTCAATAAATAGAATAAACAAATATTCGCAAATAAATTAAATTTATTTTATAACTGACAACTAACGTACGCTTTTTGTTCTATTCTCCATTTTGATTTTGACTCTTTATTACCACCAACAACTTTATGTGTATACATATTTACAAGCTGTCAAAATTTTGCGTAGTCCCACGAACTAGGTAAAAACTATGGCATTCGTATTCACAACGAGAAATCTCAAAATTTTTGTTTGGTCTTTCCAAATTTTCTCTCTTTTATCAGTTGGCAAAGGTCCTCAGTGGCAGCGCTCCGAGCGTTGAGACAGTGGCTGCATTTCTTTATTCATTCTGAATGTTTGGAATAAACTTTTTTGTTTATTTATTCTTTAGAACGTTCCTGATGATATGTTGACGTATATTTCAAACGCATTCTGTTTATTCCGGCTGTGAAATGGGATTATCCGGAATGTATAAAGAAACGCAGCCAGTAATTTCATGTCAATTAGTAGAAAAGTTCCATGTTGAAAAAACTTTTTATTATGGCGAGAAAATTTTACATTTCTGCTGTGCAAATTCGTAACTTTTTACTGCTGAAAATTTTTGCCAGTTGCTCTGGTGCAAAAGAAGTTGAGCAATTAAAATCAGAAATTACACAAAAAAGACTTGTCTCTACTGACTTTTATTCTTTTAGAACTAAAAGCTATGCATTTATTAGACGCCTTAGTAATAAAATTAGAACAAAAAAATTCTTCAAAACCGTCAGGCCGGGTTGAAAATTTTTATTCACCTAATAGTTAACAAAAATTTACAATCTGTAATACTTTTCTATCAATTCGCAAATGTCGTTTTGCACAAAAAAGGTTATGAAATGCGTTTTATTTAAATCGTTAAGAAAATGAGTCTTTTATGTATACCATTTTATATGGAATTATTCCATGAACGAAAGACACAAGATCAAGCGGGAAGGAAAGAACGAAAAAAGTTATTTTCTAGCTGCCGAAATCTCGACGCCATCTTTGTTGTAAGAAGTAAACAACGAAAAGAACGGAGAAAACCGCGAAATTGTTGAACGCATGAAAAATCATTTTTATTATGCAAATTCTTCTATAAATAATGCCGTTGTGTTAAATTATTCTTTATTTTATGTGTATACACGTTGTCACATGCGAAAATGAAGAAAATTGCAGTAAAAAGCCACCACCAAATTGTAAACAACGAAGAAATGTAAACCAACGGCTAATGTCAAAATCGTTCAACTTTTTTCCTAAATGCGATTCTAACGGGCTAGTTTCCTGCCCGCGTGATCTTGTCTTTTTGGTTCATGGAATTATTCAATAACTTTCGTTTTACACTATACTTATTGAAACCATTTGGAGTTAATTATTTTTTGTTTCTTAAAAGCAACCCTGCGTGCTTGGAAGGCGTGTGTACCAATAATTTCATCCCTAGCATATTCATCCCCGAGGAAGGCAGTCGCCAAATTCACCGAAGGTTGTTTACTGGTTATATTGTGCTGTAATGTCAAAAAATGTAAACAAAGAAATTAACCCTTTGTTATGCATTTACCGTATTTGATAGAACTCAACATCTTTGAAATGAAAATTTTTGTAAATATGAAAATAACTTAAATCTCATTAGAATCAGCTTCATTTTATTTATTGAATTTTCTGTTTAATGTAAATGTGGAAATGCATACTTACACAAAATTACACACTAAATGAAACAAACTCATTTATAAAATCGTTTTGACAATTTTCTTGCTGTTACTATCCCAATGTTTTTGAGCATTTATTTTTTTATTCAAATACTTAATTCTTAAGTATATTAGACATTAAATAAAGTTTGATTCTTCTAAATTTACATCAGAACTTAACTTCAATAATTTAGCTATTAAATTTTTGCTATTCGAAATTTTTTTTCCTTTAAATTTATTAAAAATTACCATCAGTTTCTTTATGTCCACAAGGAATACTGGTTTAGGTTTTATCAGACCACTATTTGAAATTTGGCCTATGCATGTATGTATATGAAAGGGAGATTTTCTTTTCATATTCGGTATGATAAATCCTGCACCTGGGACCAAACGCGTCCACTTAGAAATACTCGGCTGCGATAGACAACAAATAAAGTCACGACCACACGTGAAGACTCTCCCAATGAAACATCGCAGCAATTTTCCCACCGTTGTCGCTTCACTTGACAATTCGAAGGTTTAAAATAACGCACAAGTTTTTTGTCCAGGCTCTTGACAAACACAACGCACCGCTCACAATTCCATTTCATTTTATTATGTATTTAAAATCAGTCAGCTCACAATTGAAAATTTATATAAAAAAAAAATTTTTGCATAGTTTAAGGTTAAGAGTTGACATTTCAGTCGCAGTTCAAAAGAGAGAAATGTCGAAATCACTTCTACCTTGTTATGCCTTGCTTGTGAGGTCTATTTTGTGAGGTTATTCTCGCCCACACCTCATAAGAAAAAAGCTCAGCAAAAGCACCACACGAGGTGAAAAGCATTTTGCTGTCTAACAGCTGTTTCGTTTTAAGTTTTATCTTTTGCCCAGAAAATAAAACTTGNAGCAAAAAATAAAAGTCAAAACAACGATTATTTTCTGAGTAAAAAATAAAACTCAAAATATAATGATTAAACTTGATTTTTATAAGTAAAAATTAAAAAATAAAAATCAGTGCCGCTGAAGGTACTCCGAGTAATAAGAAATATATTGGTTTACTCCTTATGCACGTAGCATTTCTCTTTCCGCGTGATTATTTGAGTTGAAATTTCAAAGGATAATCGTTATTTGCGGTCCCTGATAAATATCTATAACAAAATCGATAAATATCGATAACAAATTCGATAAATATCGGTAACCAAATCGATAAATATCGATAACAAAACCGATAAATATCGATAACAAAATCGATAAATATCGATAACAAATTCGATAAATATCGGTAACCAAATCGATAAATATCGATAACAAAACCGATAAATATCGATAACAAAATCGATAAATATCGATAAAGATACCGCTAACAAAATAGTTACAAATATCGATTACAAAATCGATGATAAATCGATAAAAATGTCGATAACAAAATCGATAAAAATATAGATTATTATGTCGATAAGCTCCAAAAATATCGAAAGCAAAATTGAAAACAATATCGCTAAAAATTTCGATAACAAATTTGATAAAAATATCGATAACAAAACCGATAAAGATATCGATTATTTTATCGATAAGTCTCAAGAATCCCAAAAATCTCTAAAATCCTAAAATGGTTCCCAGATTGAGTCTCTGTATCTCTTTCTACATCCTCTCTTTAATTACCTTTATTTTATTCTTTCTTCCCCTATATTCATCTTTACGTTTATTGGTATCCTCATCCTCATCGTTGTTTTTACTTCTATGTTTATCATTTTCTTCATCAGGTGAAGAGGAACCTTTGCCCTTATATATATAAGTAGAGTGTTTAAATTTACCTTGGTCTTAATTTTTGCCTTTATCTTTACGCAGCAATTGTTTTTGTTTTTATTTTTACCGTTGCCTTTATGCTTTTCTTTATCTATGTACGTACTCACTTTTACTTTCATTCCTGTATTTGTCTTTTTCTAAGTGTTATTATTTAACCTTTTATTAGCAAATTTTTGTTAAATTAACACCATGTGTATACACATAAGAAGCACTTGTTTCAGTGCCAACAATTTCCGTGTGCAATTTCCGGTGAATTTGCCAATTTACTCCCAACCAACCGACTTCCGCTAAAGAAGTTTCACTTCAAAAAAATAACACAGACACTAATAGCGAACGAAAGTTAACAAAACATTTGCTCAATAAAAATCGGCTGTTTTTCTCTTGTGAGGGTCTCATTCGTACATCATAAATTGTCTGACAATTGTGAGCGTATGAGCTTTCGAATTTACGCCAGCATAGGGATAACCTCATAATAGTCAGAAACCTTACAATAGTGAGTGTGCTGATTTTTGTGAGGGCAACAGAATAGGGCTGTTATTTTTCATCTACAAAAAGTGTATGGGAAAATATTAAAGTAGACTTAACCAGCAGCTTGTGTGATTTATGTAGCTCTTAAGTTTGACAAGCCGCTTCCATGGTGTATACGGTTCTTAGCTCGTTGCCACCGTTAGATTTATAGAGCTTTCGCACAAGGCGATTTTTCAGGCCACTTTTGCGTTCAACTCACGCAGGGGTGCACGAAAAAAAATTGAATGGCTAAAAATATCAAAAGATATAAAATAGTCGCCATAAAAAGGCGTTTGCGTTGTTCAACTGTGCATTCTACTTTTGGTTGAACGGCCTTTCAACTAATCGCTTTCAACAGAGANGGTGAAGAGGAACCTTTGCCCTTATATATATAAGTAGAGTGTTTAAATTTACCTTGGTCTTAATTTTTGCCTTTATCTTTACGCAGCAATTGTTTTTGTTTTTATTTTTACCGTTGCCTTTATGCTTTTCTTTATCTATGTACGTACTCACTTTTACTTTCATTCCTGTATTTGTCTTTTTCTAAGTGTTATTATTTAACCTTTTATTAGCAAATTTTTGTTAAATTAACACCATGTGTATACACATAAGAAGCACTTGTTTCAGTGCCAACAATTTCCGTGTGCAATTTCCGGTGAATTTGCCAATTTACTCCCAACCAACCGACTTCCGCTAAAGAAGTTTCACTTCAAAAAAATAACACAGACACTAATAGCGAACGAAAGTTAACAAAACATTTGCTCAATAAAAATCGGCTGTTTTTCTCTTGTGAGGGTCTCATTCGTACATCATAAATTGTCTGACAATTGTGAGCGTATGAGCTTTCGAATTTACGCCAGCATAGGGATAACCTCATAATAGTCAGAAACCTTACAATAGTGAGTGTGCTGATTTTTGTGAGGGCAACAGAATAGGGCTGTTATTTTTCATCTACAAAAAGTGTATGGGAAAATATTAAAGTAGACTTAACCAGCAGCTTGTGTGATTTATGTAGCTCTTAAGTTTGACAAGCCGCTTCCATGGTGTATACGGTTCTTAGCTCGTTGCCACCGTTAGATTTATAGAGCTTTCGCACAAGGCGATTTTTCAGGCCACTTTTGCGTTCAACTCACGCAGGGTTGCACGAAAAAAAATTGAATGGCTAAAAATATCAAAAGATATAAAATAGTCGCCATAAAAAGGCGTTTGCGTTGTTCAACTGTGCATTCTACTTTTGGTTGAACGGCCTTTCAACTAATCGCTTTCAACAGAGATTGGTCGCCAGCCAATATTTAGCCATTCAACTTTTTTTTCGTGCAACCCTGCGGGAGTTGAACGCAAAAGTCGAACGCAAAATCGCCGCGTGCGAACACCTTTTTATTGTCTTGTTCTATCTTCTTTGACAATACAGTCGACCGGCATACCGTTTTAATCCTCAGTAAATATACAAGATGGGAATAACAGAATTAGGTGAGTTGATAGGAAGGTCTAATATTCTATTCAATTGGGATGGGAGTAGGATTTTCAACATCGATTTCTCTGACATCGATATTATTCAGCCCGATATATCGCCATTTCGATTTTACATGCATTGAATTAAATCGATTCATGATATCGATACTTTGTTAAATATCGAACATTTCTATGTCAAGCATGCACAAATATTTAAATATTTACACATGATCTGACAAGATGAAGCAAAAGATAAAAGTAATTTTCTGGCTGGCGTTTGTAATCTCGGCGGCATGTTATTTTCCTTGAAAAGTAAACAATTGGGTTGTTCACAGTTCGTTCCAAATAGTGTCTCAAAATGTAGACGTCTACACTTCACTGACGACGCATGCGAGAAACCGCACGTGTAGACCGCAAAAAGTACGAAGCATGCTTTTTCTCGCATACCGAGCGGTATGCCAGCTCTCGCTTGCTTTCAACTGTCATTTTTGTTGTTTGACAGCTGTGTTCTCATTTCGCAGAATTCTTCAAAGTAGCAACATCGTTTATTTTGGACGCAAATACACTATTATTATTATTAAATACAAATTTAGAGGCAGCCATTTTTCATTTGAAATTAGTTTACATCTCTTTATGCAGATTTTCTAATTTTCTCAAACTTTTAAGAGCCTGCAAGGCTTGAACCTTCTTGTTTGGCGACATTTTACAAATGAAAAAGTATGCTGTCAAATGCCCAGTCAACAAAACTATATCTCGCTTGCGAGAGAAAAAAGCAGAATGCAAGCGAGATTTTCAAGCATGTGAAGATGGCCGGTTACGTTATTGAAAGGCGGTGTTGCTATAATGCACGATAATCATGATCCAACTACACAAGATCTGACAAGATAAAGCAAAAGAAAAAAGTATTTCTCTGGTTGATGGAAAAATTATTTTCCATTTAAATTGCTGGTGAAACCGACTGTTACAGTGGCCACACACGACGAACATGTGCGCGAGCATGCTTTGCTTGTGGTGCATATTCGTCGTTTGTGGGGCGGTTCACGAGCAGGCCCAAAAAAAGCCATCTTTAAGGCACGTCTACATAGAACTTTGGCGTTGGCGTTGGCGTCGCTTCAACAGCTGACTATGAATACATGAATTCAAATGCGCTCACGCCAACACAAAGCAAAAAGATGGCCAACTCTCAACTTTTCGCATGCGTCGCTCGTCAGCTATTGCAAATAAATAAAATTATGTGAAATATTTTTATTTTTAATCAAATGCGGGCAAGAAATATCGTCTTTCATGCAATTATTGATATAAAATATAAATTTATCTGTCGTTAGTATGTTAATTTATTGGTCAAAGCATGCGCTGTCAAGCGTTCATTGTAGGAAGCATACTTTTAACATGCGTTCTGTCAAACCAACGCCAACGCCAAAGCCAACGCGAAAGTTCTATGTGGACCGGTATTACGCTACAACGACAAGACCACTTATTTGCCGCTCACCGTCTGTGGGAAACGACAGCGAGCATGATCGNAGCAAAAATGAGAGAGCAACAGTCAGTGAGAGTGACTCTCATCAGTCCGAAGTAGTCAGATTTAGTCAGAAGAATTTTTTCTGGCAAAATCTTGAAAAGTGTCAAACTCAACTGAATTTAAATTAACGGAAATTAAAGAATACGCTAGAAGTGAGAATAATCTAAAAAGTAAAAGAAATGAATTGAAATTGGAAGAAGGCCAAAAACAATTGATATAGCAAGTGTTTATTGTGCTTATGCTTGTGTGAATGTGTTTTGTACATACATTTCTGTTCTTATTTGACGTTAGTTTTGTTGATGCCATTCTTTGGACTAAAAATTTGGTTTTTTGCGTTCCTTACTTTTCATGTTATTCTCTTTTAGTGAGCGCATTTGGCTTACGCTCTGGCATTTTGACACTTTTCAGATTTTAGTCCAAAAGATAAGGAATGAACCTATTATTGAATCATGGATCGCACACATATTCGTCGTTTGTGGCCAGTGTTAGTAAACGAAAGTCGAGTCATCGAGTGAGAGTCGATTGTAGTCAATCTGAGGAGACTGAAGCCCATTTCAAAAAGTCGAGTTTTTTCAACGAAACGTCGATTTTTTACTAAGTCAGAGTCGACTTTTCCTCTCCTATTTGGTGAACTCTGTTTATTTTGATTAAAAAGATGGAAAAGCTGATTATTATAAAGCAAGTATTTGATTTACTTTTTGATGATAGCAGTGAAGAGGATAGCGATGAAGATATCAGGGTTATCAGTAGTCGAAAGAAACTAATTAATAGTTCTGTCAAAGCCCTGAAGCAAAAAATTAATGAGGATAATGATGGCATTAATGAGGATCAGGATGTTGCGGCAAATATGGCAAAAGCACATGAAACATTTACGGGGCATGCAGTCCCTAGAATGTCTGCAAAAACCTTCAAGCAACGTTTTCGTGTAAATCCGATTGTTTTTGAATTAATTTGCAAGGATATCTATCCGTTCTTGCATAAAAAATATGGCACTGGGCGAAATCCTGTAAAACTTGAAAAGCAGGTAATGATAACACTCTTTTACCTAGGAAACAGAGGAGGATTAAGGTGTGTATTTTGCTCGAAAGATATATGTAAATGCGTAAAGCAATTTTTCTTTCAGGATAATTGCTAGTATGTTCGAAGTGAGCATTTCAACAGCATGGAGGACAATCTCCAGCGTGTGCGATGCAATTTTAAAGATGAATGGAGAGAAAAAAATTGTAAAATGGCCAAGTAGCGTTGAAGCAGAAAAAACTGCAAATCATTATTATTCAACCCATAAATTAAAAGGTATGTAAATACTTAAATAGTCAAACCCATATAAAATGTAACACCCTCAATTTATAGGAGTTATAGGGTGCATAGACAGTTGTCATTTGACGATTAGAACACCAAAACACGCAAAAAAATCATATGCAAACAGAAAGGGTACACATTCCGTACTTCTACAAGCGATTTCGAACGAGAAAATGGAGTTTTTGTACTTTTACGCAGGCGAATGTGGTTCACTTAATGATGCTTCCCTAATTGCGAAATCTGGACTAGAAAATAAAATAAACACAGGTTAAAATAAGTATAAGGCTGAGCTCCAAGTTGCATCAATGCAAAGCATCAGCCTCTTTTATTTCTTAACTATAATTGGTAGAAATTCCCTAGAAATCTTGAGTTCCAATTCGGCATTTGAACGTTGTTGCGCATATTGGACATTTCCATCAGTTCTAGTTTAGAAATAAAAGGCTGATGCAACTTTTAATTCAGCCTACCTTTATAAATGTTGAATTTAATTATTTTATTCATATGTTTTTTAGGTTGCTTTAAAATTGCTATGGATCAGCATTTGCTAGGCGACTTCTCGTATCCACTTAAACCATGGTTGATCACTCCATTTCGAGATAAGGTTGGGCTCACAGACGAACAAATGTTTTTTAACATAATACATACTGAGTGCCTTGATGACATAAAACGTGCATTTGGGCTGCTCAAAGGCAGATTTCGTCGTTTAAATTACATAGATTGCCTAAGAACTGCCGCAACAACGAAATTCATTGCTGCTTCCTGCATAATTCATAACATATGTCTGTACAACGAAGATTTTCCAGATGAGGACGTACAAATAGAAGTTGAGGAAGACGAGAAAGAATGTTGTAGTGAACATGAACATAATGTATCGGCAAGTCAAAAAAGGGTCGAGCTAATGAACGAATTACACACATGACTGAAATAAACAAGTATTGCATTTTTTTTATAGCCAAAAGGTCGATTTACATACATATGTATAGTACAAATACTTAAATATAACAAAGCATTTAATTTTAAATTTTATCCACCATTCTCTCGAATATGGCAAGAAATTTCCTGGCTAATTTCATCTTTTCCTGATGCCGCCTCTCTCTGGCATCTTCTGCACTTTCCCGGCTGTTCCGAGTTCCATGAAGTGGTTTGCTTTCATATCCGCTTGGACTATCTTCACTACTTCGACGTCTCCGTGCTTCCCAACGGCTTCTGCCTACGTCACTACTTCGACGCCTTTGTCGTTGCTTACCGCTGCGGTCTGCATTACCCTCTCGACGATTTCGATTTTCTCCAGGATAGCGGTGATCATTTTTTTTGCATCTTTTACTGCTTGGTCGAATAGTTGAGTCCTCTGAATCTACAATGTATTCAACAAAATCAAATTCCGGCTCACCACCAGCAACACATGTATTCTCAGATGTTGCAGTTATGACAGGATTTATCTCAATATCATTTTTAAGGATTGCGTCAACTGCATCATAAAATTCCCAACTCAGTTGCGTTTTGGACTCTTTAACCCTTTTGTGGGTACGTTTTAGACCTTTCCATTTCGACTCGACTTGATCAAAAGCCAGGTTGGTTCCCAGTTGTTCGTTAATTTCAAGCGCAATTTGTTGAAATATGATCTTTTTCACACCACTTTGCAAATGAATGTAATTTTTTGCTATTAATGAGATTAGCAACAATGTCGTGTCCCTAGACCATTTAAATCCCTGGAAGGTATAATTATCTACATTTTATATACATATAGAAAAGTTCTCAAATATATTTAAAATATTCACTCCGGTTTGTGTTTGCCATCGCACGTTTTTCTTTTTCAACCCCGCGGAACACTGCAGCCGCCAATGGTCGTACCTTTTTTGGCAATCTATTTTAATAGATAAACAATTACTTGTGATTCTGTGAAAATTAGATGATTTTATAAAGCGCAGTAATACTCACGAACAATTAGACAAGCTTGTAAACAAGAATGTTTATTAAAACTGTATTAATTACCAAAAGTTCCGAGCAAATAAAGAAACATAACTGTTCTATCTTGAAGCTTGGAATTAGAGATGGGCACGGGACTAAATATTTAAAACCGATACCGCCCATCCCGAAATTCGATTTTTATGTCCCGAACCCGCCCTGCCCGACGTTTTTCAGAATTGTACCGCGGGTCCCATGGGTCCCGATATCTATCTCTAAAGCAGGCTACAAACGGACAACAAATTGAAACGATCGGTTTAGATTTCAACGTGTGTGGCGTGGTTCACAAACCGATCGAAGGTTGACAAAAATGTTCATGTCTTTCAAATTAATTTCAAATAATAATGACAGATCTGGCATCGTCCGATTTTGTTTTGCTTTGCTGTTCGTTTTCGTCTCAATGAAACATTAGAAGTGCATATTTTGTGAATTTGCGGGGGTTGCGGTTTTATCGGGAATGTCGAGAAAGGATTTTGGTCCCGTCCCGCCCGCCATATTTTTACACATCTTCCCGATACCTCCCAACCCGTCCAATTTTAAATCAGTACCGACAGTCTCGCTATCCCGCGCCCATCTCTACTTGGAATGAATGAGAGAAGTTGCCCTACAAGAATTGTGTGATTGGAACTAAGGCCGGTGTTATGCAGACAAACTTTTGCTTGCCAAATTAAATGGTGGCTGCTTAGTTGGCTCGGAGGTGGTTATGTCGAGTTTGGCGCAGGTTGCATTATGGTTTTCATGACTATTGCCAACACGAAATGACAATTTCAGATGTACATAACGTGCACAATTAATATATTTTTTATGATATCGTAAAGGCAATTAACTGTGCCCTAATCTTTGAAGCTCCTACAGCATAAATTCAGTTCTCTGGCCTTCGGTATCGCGGCAATTTTAGTGTATAGCAACAATTGTATAAAATTTTTGTATATGACAACACCGAATTTGCTGCAGTTTGACCAAACAAAATTAGTTGGCTGTGAGAGTTGCCAAACTCGCTCTCTCCGAGTTTGCTGCAACAACAATTGCACGCAGTTTGCCAAACAAAATTTCTGCATAACACCGACCTAACACATTCTCATTTATCTTACTAACACATTTGCAAAGTTTGCGTTGGTTAAAAAGAGACCACTAAATAAGGCCATAAGTTGGAGNATTTCGAACTCGCGTAAATGTACATTTGCTAAATGCGGTAGCATGAACGCTCTTCGAAAACATATGTTCGAAAGTGCTAAATGTTGCATTTTAAATGCAGCAAAAACGCTGTATAAGAAAATTGCAGTAAAAAGNCACAAATGTTTACATCACGTTTTGCATATTGCTCTTAAAAAGTTGATAGAAGTACTTGCTTGAGATCTCCATCATCAGTGATTATCACATGATCAATCAAATGACTATTACTGTTCTTGTCATGAACGAAAGATACAAGATCACGCCTTCCCGAAAGAAAGAAAAAAGATATTTTCTAGCTGTTGAAATCTCGACGCCATCTTTGTTGTAAGAAGTAAACAACGAAGAGAACAAAAAAACCGCGTAATTGTTGAACGCAAGAATAATCATTTTTAGTATGCAAATTCTTCTATAAATCATGTCGTTGTGTTAAATTATTCTTTACCTTATGTGTGCTCACGTTGTCACAAGTGAAAATTAATGGGCTGTTTTTGCTTACGCGTAAAAGCACATTTAGCGCATTTAGCCCTAAATNGCACCGACAAATGAATATATACACAAACAAATGTTCGGTTATGGTTAAAACAATTCAAGTGTTTGTATTGAATTTTCGGTTTAGAATTTATTTTTTTTCTTTTTCAGTAGGGGTTTTGCACATTACCTTTTCCGTTAGAATTTATCATAATAGATACGGATCTGAATAAGCGACTGGAACACGGCTGTTTGTCAAAAGCATACTATTTCGAACTCGCGTAAATGTACATTTGCTAAATGCGGTAGCATGAACGCTCTTCGAAAACATATGTTCGAAAGTGCTAAATGTTGCATTTTAAATGCAGCAAAAACGCTGTATAAGAAAATTGCAGTAAAAAGCCCACCAAATTGTAAACAACGAACAAATGTAAACAAACGGCTAATGTCAAAGTCGCCCAACTTTTTTCCTAAATGCGATTATAATGGGCTACTAAGAAGGCGTGATCTTGTTTTTTTGGTTCATGTGTTCTTGTAGGGTGGCGCTTGTTAAATAAAAATAATCGACCATAAAATCTGGGTATTTTTGTAATCGATTAACAGGTCTATTCTGCGCTGGTAATAAAAAATTTGTAACCAGTAAATAAAGTTCCTGGCATATGTTGGTAACAAAATATTTCCCCGTGAAACATGCAATGCCAGTATTTCCATAAATCTTCATAGCTGAATTGCTGAATATTTAAACTGCATTATGCAGCGGGAGGTTTACGTTCTTGACAATTTCAGCTTCACAAAGTAGAATTCTCTTCCTGTGTTGCGAACAAAAGGAGCAGAAGAGTTTCTGAGCAGAACTTCTCTCTGCGTAGGCGGCCTACGGCCGCGCTAAAGCCTGATATAACTTATTTCTTTACAAATGAGATCGAGGAAAGATCGAAATGATTAGAGCCGAAATTTCATAATTTTTCTAGCATTTTGTTTAACATTGTTTTTCTTTGTAATTCACAACTGCAATATCGTGAACGTAATCTTCCACAAAGACAGCTTTGACTCATATAGTGCAAGAAATTTCCGCCAAAATACTTTTTACTTAGAAAATTGAGCTAATTTCACCACTAACGACAGTATGTATGTATAAAAGCGTAAGGAACGTACAATACATATATGTATATATATCAGTCTTTCTTAGTTTAAAAATTCATCTCTTACATAAATGCAAAAAAAAAAACCAATTAAACATATACAACTTTTTCATGCCAAGTATAAATAAATTCTAAAAAGGGCTAAAAAAAGGGCTAGGGGCAATTTTAAATTTATGTGGCCAAAAAAAAGTATGTGGTAGCTAAATTTAGCCACCAAAGGGCTAAAACGGCAACACTGATCGCAACTATTAACAGGGAACAAATTCATCGATTATTTTCTCTTATCGGTCCTTTACTTGTAACGTATACTTTTGACATCCCGAATTTCCTATTTGCATGTACTTTAATTTCACAAATTATTTTCGTTGCTACAATTAAACGATTTTTGATACGGTTGCTGTTGTAAACCTAAATTAGAATTGATCATGGCATCCGTTCGCAAGGATTGCGCACAGCCAGTTCCTAGCCTTCGCCATATTGGCTCCTTTGTGGTGCTTGACTTGGAAACCAATGATTTGCCCCACATATTCTCCAAGATTGCAATTACGGAACTATGCATGTATGGATTCTCAGCAAACGAATTAGAAATGGAAGCTCCAAGGGAAATTAGAAACGGTAATAAATCACCAGTACCGAAGCGGCCGCGAATTTTGCATAAGTTAACTTTGCTCTTCAATCCCAGACGACTCATTCATCCGTCGGCTGAAATAATTACAGGTTTATCATAAAATGTATTGTTTTAAAGCATTTACATATTCAATAACATCGTCTTGCGAATTGTATTTTTAGGACTGAGTAATTATAATTTGGAAAATGAGTCACACTTCGATGAAAACGCAGCTAATACAATCTTAAATTTTATCAAACACATGCCACAACCTGTATGCCTGGTTGCACATAATGGGGACCCTTTCGATTTTCCAATAGTCAAACAAACACTCGATAAGTTTAGTTTGGTACGCTAAGATTATAGCGCATAATTTGTTAGTTAAGTATATAAATTAAATTAAATACATTTTTCTACGCATTTATATCTAGGAGCTGCCGAAAGACACACTGTGTTTGGACTCCTTACGCGCCTTCTGGGGCATAGATGATATGCTAAAGTCAGTTGCTCCAGAAGCAGAAATACCTTCGAGCCAATCTGATAAGGCACCAGAATTACTGCCATTGCTCGATTTTGACGAACCGAAGAAGATAGGACCTTCATTGGACACAATACAACTTGCGCAACCCATATTGAATTCAACAAATGGACAAGAAACGACGACATTAGCAGATTCGAAACTAACACTTGTAGAGCAACTGGAAGCTGATGCAAAAGTAGACTGGCGCGCACGAAATGAGAGGACACCCAGGCGACCAACTGTAGCTGGTGTGAAGCGAACTCGCTCTGATGAATCAACACCTGGAAAGCAATCATTTGAAGATAACACTGTGTTCAAATCTAAACGTGCACTTTTTTCAAGTAAAAAAGTGGATCGATATCCGCCAAAAGGAGTTTATAAGTTGGAAAATTTGTATGAACGATATTTTCATGAGAAACCGAAGGATGTACATTATGCCGAAGCCGATGTAGAAACACTGATGCATCTGATGCAAGTATATGGATTAAATTTTCTTGCTTATGCGGAAAATCATGCCATTCCCTTTAATGAAATTAAAATAAGACGGTGATAACACATTGCATGTACACAATTTTACGCTTTAAAGACATAAATACTTAGAATATACTAATCCTTAATAATGAAGCTACATACACACTTACATAGGTATGTATTTGTAAATATATACCTATATATATATATTTTAGAAAAATTATGAATTTACAAAACGTAAACAATTTTTTGTAAACCTGTGATGGGCGTTTTAGATTATACATTTGATTTTTTGCACATTTAAATAAATATTTTATATAATTCGACTGATTTAAATACAAATACATTCATACATATAACACATATGCCGATTTGAGCTAATCAGACATTGAACAACCAGTCCACAGTGGTCGGATAAGGCATGTTTTACGCGAAAAAAACCTATTTTTAAACTGTGATAAATTAACTGGAGTAAAGCCATTCTTATTCAGAAATGTCCAGCGAACTCAAAGCTGGTTAGTATTTTTTATAATATGTGCTGAGCAAGTCGTTGAATCCATTTCATTCAACGAATTCGATCGTGGCTGGTTCTAACAGTTATGAGTTGATAGCTTTCTTAACAATTTTTTTTTTTATGGCAACTTTAAATTATAACAGTAATTGCTGGTTTAGTGTTACTTTTTAAAGATGGAAAATGATGATTTCATATGAAATATTACATAATTTTGTTGCCAAATTATGAATATCTTAATAACACGGATTATTGTTCAAGAAATATTTTTTTCAAAAAGGAATAACTAATTTGTAGGGCCGAGAAGGATCTTCATTCCTTTACCAAAAAGTAATGCAAGGGGTCCTTTAAGGATGTATGAAAAGAATAGCCGCGCATACTCGCGCCAAAAAGAGTGGCCGCCATTTTTATTAGAAACGCTGCTTATTTCTCAAGAAATATTTTCTTCAAAACTGCATAACTAATGATTAGAGCAGAGTAGGATATTAATTCCTTTACCAAAAATCTACGAAAAGCCGCGCATACTCGCGCCAAAAGGCGTGGCGGCCACTTTTATTGCAATAGACCAACTTTAGCAGTTGCTCCAAATAACATAAAGTATATGTAAAGTACACTACGGATTAATGTATTTTTTCTATATTTAGCATCATACTATTTATAAGATGTGTCTTGACAAACCGGAAGTCAATTTTCAAAAACCGAAAATAACGAATCCAATATGGTGTCCAAGAATTAAAAAAAATTACTGAATTTTCATGAAATTTGGTATTTTGAGGTTCTTAAGTTCGCATATTACAAATTTCAATTTAATTTGCTATTTACAGGTATATTCTGCACGTTACCGAAGATTTTGTAACCGGAAATTTTTATTACCAAAAAATGTTACCGTTTCTTGTCAGGAACGTTGGTAATGCAGTTAAAATATTCAGCAATTCAGCTATGAAGAATTGTGCAAATTCTGGCATTGCATATTTCACGGGGCAATACTTTGTTACCAGCTTATGAGATGGTAACAAAATTTACCGGTTACAAGAGTACACAGAATGCGAAAAGGGTTTAAAAATTGACAGGAACTTTATTTACCGGTTCCAAACTTTTTATTACCAGCGCAGAATAGACCTGTTAGAGGTTCGCTTTCATGGCAACTCCGAAGGCTGTTATCGGAAGTTATCGTTACCGAATATTACGCCCTTCCTTACTGGACACATCTGTTATTCTTCTGTATCCAATATGGCGCCCAAGAATTTAAAAAATTACTAAATTTTCATAACAATTGGTATTGCCTTTGACAGTACGGCATTTTTCTGAGGAAGCCCGGGAGGCTCTCAACAAAGACTTCAGATGGTATCGCGAGCATAACACTCGAAAAATGACCAGGAAGGAATCTAACGAAGATTTATTTCACATGTTAATTACTTATATCATCGGTTACTGTTATATCCAGTATGAGACGACCCCCACTTCGAAAAGCAGATGCCATTTCCGAAGAAGTTATCAGTCTTTTGCGTGAACCAACTCAACGCATCAGTTTTGGTTGAAAGTGACAGCGATGAGTGAAAAAATATTTCGTCATTTCTATTTTAATTTGTTGTCTGTAATATTAGTTAATACAGGTTGTTTGGTAGACGTTTGAACATACGTGAACTGGTGATAGTTGGGTCATCTGCTATGTGTTCCGCCAGAAATTTCAACTAGGCTCCAAAATTTTATATATATTTCTTTATTTCTCATTTACAAAAATTCAAATCTGAATGACGTTATTTAAAAATGAGAAAACTTTAGTTTTGGAAATCTCCAATTCGGTATAAAATAAAAGAATCTTAAAAATTTTTTTGGGATGAACATATAACAGGCGGCACCAACTATCCCCCATTTATAAATATAATTATTATTATTAATTCGTAATTTGATTATAAATTCATATATAATAAATCAGTAAATTTGCTTAACAAATATATTGTGTTACTCAACTAAAAATGACAGTTGATTTGACAGATTTCAACTGAAAAAGTTTGAATGTAATATAGAGCTCGAGATCAGCGAGCCTTAAAGCGTAGTACGTTTACTTCTTGGGAAATTCTCCTTATTTTTAGAGAAATTGACAGCTCACTCGACAGCTGTCAAATCTCAAGGTTTTAATTTCACGTAAAATTCGTGACTAGCGTGTCTAAAACCCTTACCAGTAGCAGTTAAAAACATTTTCTTTTTATCAGAAAAATTAACAGTCAATTTGACAGCTGCCAACTCTAAAAGCTTTAATTTGACGTGAAATTCGTGATCAGCATGTTTAAAAACCTTATCAGTAACGTTTTCAAAAAGATTCTCTGATTTTATAAAAATTTGCAGTCCGTTTGACAGCTGTCGACTGTCAAACTTTCAATTTGACATAAAATTCGTGATTAGCGTGCCTAAAAACCTAATAAGGAGTAGTTTCGAAAATATTTTCTTATTTTTAGAGAAGTTAGCAGTTGATTTGACAGCTGTCAACTGTCAAACTAAAAATTTTATGGCATATTCAGATTTTTATTGTAATCGTAACAACCATTCTAGTTTTTCGCGTAAAACATAGCTTCTCCGACCACTGAGCGACGTCAAAAATAGCTACAGTATTTTAAACCTTCCCATCTTTTAAAGTTTTTTTTTTGGGGAAAAAACCATGAGAGCTTTTGAAAAATTCAACATGGCGTTACAAATATGGCATCCAAACTAATCTTAAATTAGATTTTGCTCTACAAATTTTGTGCCACCGGAGAACCCAACACTAAAAGAGAAGAGTGCCCTACCCTGATATAGGGTAAATTCCTCAGAGGTGAAAACCGTATGGAGGTAGGTGACTTTGATGCGCATCACGATCTTTGGCACTCAAGCCTGTCAAAAGATCGTAGGGGAACAGACTTAGCTGAGTAGATAGACGATTCGACATTCTGAACAATGAACGATGACGCACCCACCAGGATTATGGGCAGCTGCTGCAGCGTATCATGGCGACCTATGCTGACTTTGGCCTCAGACCATCTGCCCATAGTCATCTCGATCGATAAACCAACCGACATTGCTTCCGCGGAACACCGGACCTTATCAACTTTTCTAAAGCTGATAGGAAAGGCTTCGCGGAATTTACTGAAAACACCTTCGCTGCGCTCGCCACACCAATCGACGTCCACCTTGGTGAACGTAAGTTCCGCAGGACTGTCGCCGCTGCTGCAGCTCGTTTCGTACCGGCAGGATGCATAACGGACCCACGTCCAAATTTCTCTGCCGAAACGGCTGTTCTAGCCGATGACCGTGACAGCCTTCGGCAGGCCTATCCCGGAGATCCCCGTATCAGGGATCTAAACGCGAAGATTCGGCAACTAGTAAACGTACATAAGCGAAAGAAGTGGGAAGAGCATCTGAAGACCTCACCTCTGGTGTGAGTAAGCTTTGGTCAACCGTGAGGTCACTGTCCAATCCGGCGAAGCATGACGGCAGGGTCGAAATTTCTCTCGGCGACCATGCTTCGTCGGATCCGGAGCGATATGCGAGCTATTTTAGCCGGCAGTTCATACTGCATCCTCCGGTGGACAAAGCCAAGCGTCGAGTGACCAGAAGGCTGCACAAACTGCCAACAACCTGTGCCCCCTTTGCTTTCACTTGCGGTGAAGTTCAGATGGCCATCGGGAAGGCGAAAGCCTCCAAAGCCATGGGTCCCGACGGAATATGCATGTTGATGCTGAACAATTTGGGTCCTGCGGGAGTAGTGTGCCTAACGGATGTCCTCAATTTGTCAATGGCCACTCTTAAGGCCTGTATGCAGCTCTCAAGAAATTTACTACGCTTTCTACTACGGTTTTCTAAAGTTTTTTGTGAAAAAAGAGCACAAGGCAACCCAGGTTTGCAACAGAAATATATGCCCGTTCCATTATTTCTTGAGGAAAGAGTGAGGCAACAGGCTGTGAGGTATCAAATATGTCAAAATTCCTTGGACACACACGCGAAATAATGGCAATTTTTTCTTAACCGTTTTCTTGAGAGCTGCATACAGGGCTTTATCATCCCAGACATCTGGAAGGTGGGGAGAATGGTCCCACTGCTCAAACCGGGGAAACCAGACAACAAAGGAGATTCGTATTGACCGATAACACTCCTTTCCCCGGTAGCGAAGACACTAGAGGCCTTGCTGCTCCCGTATTTCACGAACCACCTGACCCCAGCGAAGCATCAGCATGGTTTCCGTAAAGTGCACAGTACAACAACAGCACTTAACGGCATAAACTCTCAGATAACTCGTAGCCTTAACCGTAACCGTCCCTGTGAGAGAACTATTCTAGTAGCGTTGCACCTGTCAAAGGCGTTTGACACTGTCAGCCATTCCATGCTACTAGAAGATATAGAGGCTTCTCCCACAGAGGCTCAAACGGTGGTCGCAAATTATCTGAGTGGTCGACACTCGTCGGTAATGGTTAGAGACAAATCGAGCAAACTCAGGAAAATAAAACAGGGGGTTCCACAGGGTGGTGTCCTTTCCTCGCTACTGTTTAACTTTTATATTTCAAAGCTCCCTCAACCACCAGAGGGAGTCTCGATTGTCTCTTACACCGACCATTGCTCGATCATGGCGACTGGGAATGGAATTGATGACTTGTGTTCGAAAGTAAACGGGTATCTCTCCGAGTTTCCTCGCTTCTTCACTGCAAAGTGCCTAGCCCTCTCCCCTAAGACTTTGTTCATCACCTGGACGAAGGAGGTGAGGCTACCGCTGGGAATTCACGTCGATTATACACCAATTCCGACGGTGAATAATCCCAAAATACTCGGAGTAACATGCGACAGCCTGCTCTCCTTCTCTGCGCACGCAACCGCTATTGTCA